ATCACCCAACATATTGAGTACTCCTTAAATCGAATGTCTACTGTATGTAGTTTAAGAATATAGAGAAAATGGGTATATACATTTTTTTTACAGCAATATGCAGTAGATTACTTACAAGGGCTCTCTTATGTGTTCTTTATATCAATTCTATATCAATAAATCAATTTTATAATAACCATTTATTTCAGTTTGTTCGTTTTTTTATAAAACCTTTTATAATCCTTATCAATCCATTTGATTTTAATATTTTCTTTGGTTTTTGTTCAATTATTTTATATGATAATCATCGGTATTATAAACTTTTATCGATATATTTATGAAATCAAACTTAAGTTTCAATAATAACTATAATATGAATCCTATTCTAAATCGAATATTTCCTTTATTTTCAAAATAAACTTTACAGGAGGCACCAATGCAATTTCTCTACAGAATTCTTCTATACAGTAATGAGAAGTCAAAATGTTTAACAATAGAAACTCAGTGTGGTAGTCAAAAACCTGTAGAGACGGCCAACATAAAATCACATTTTGTGAAACCGATGACTGAACTGACTGACAAGACAAATTTGGAATTAACACATAAAAAATCTACAGGCAAAACCAAATTAATGAAGAATAAAGAGTCCAAAAACTCCATGAAAGTTGCAAAGAAATCAAATGCACACAAGAAAGCGTCTTCAAAGCGTTCTAGTTTTGGAAGTGCATCACTGGACATAACTCATGATTTCAAAAGCCTGCGCAGTAATGATATGCGCTTCAGTGATTATTCAACGACAACTACAGTGGCGCCGACTGCAAATTCAGCGGGTAATGCAAGAAAATACTCTCAAAACTTACACAGTAGAGACACGAATACTGCAAAAACAGATCCATCAGCAACAAAGTGTGATATTGTGGTTACTATACCACATTCGCAACTCGCACCCTCCATACTTAGTGAGGACGACGAGACCCTGGCGCAATTGAAAAATGCGTGTAAAAAGAACCCGCCCCCAAAACCAATTATTAAGGCTGAATCACCAAAAAAATCGCATAACGTACCAAAACTGAAAATTGATATGAGTAGTTTGAAGACCAAACTGACAATTCCAAAACCAAAATCCGCTGATGCACGTTTCGAAGCTATCGAAACTAAAAAAGTAAAGCATCGCAAGCACTCGTTCGATGATAGTCGGCCCATCGCTGATAAGGTCGACTTGGAAACATATGCCAAAAATATCGGTTTAAAGCCAATCGATGTGCAGACTGCAAATGAAACAGCCGAGCAGACAGAAAAGTTTAAATATAGTCCAAATGCCTCACCAATGTCGTCAAGTTCGTCAACCACTTCATCCTCGAACAGTAATTTCAATTATGCAACTTCTGCAGATTTCACTTCATCTTCGCATAAGAAACGTAAAAAGAAGCATTCAAAAGATTCTAAGGATGTCAAAGAGAGCAAAAGAAGAAAACTTCATGCTGAAATATCTTCGCAACCTGCAGATGAAAGCCTGAAAATGAAGGTCAAAATCACTGCAGCACATTCCAATCATAAAGCACATAAAACTGAAAGTAAGAAGATAGCAGATTCAGATATATTCAAAACTCCAGCTACTGAGTCTGAAAGGTTTCCAGTACATAAAATAAAGCATAGCGAAAGCAATAATAATAGAGCCGCCAATTCGTTTTCTTCAATGTTAGCCTTAAATAAAGCACTTTGTGAAGAATCTCAGAGCATAAATAATCTCATAAAGACAAAAACGAATACTGAGCAGAAAACTGTACCTGGAGATAAAGACGTAATCGGTAATAATAACACGGTTAACGGCGCAAAAGAAACCAATTTGCTACCAAAACCAATTGCAAATATAATAGAAACTAATATTCCTTCGTCGCCACCCTTACCACCCAGCCTCTTCAAGCCCAGCGCAATGACATTGGGGCCGCTGAAAGCAAAAACTACTACGTTTCTTAAAAACCCAACTGAATCGATTAAGCAACCAACATTCGTTTCATCCACAAAAGAGGAAACAGTTTTAGTAAAACCCGCTTTGTCAAATCCGAAAACAATTTTACCAGGACAAGCCACACTACCAAAGGCACAAAAATTACATACACTAAACTTTGATAAGAAGGGCATAAATCAGAAACCTCAACAACAGCAGCAACCAAAACAACAATTTGCAGTTCCTAATCCGCCACGTCCACTACCAAATGCACAAAAATACTTTTCAACCCCTACCTCAATAGCCAGTTCTGCCAATAAGCAAGCTGGTATGCAATTAAAACGCTCAATCTCACTCGATGAGTCTAATTCCGGATCGATTAGCAAACTGCATAAACTTGAACAGGATCGCTTGATGCGTAAGTCTGCTTATGGCCCCTACTCTACAAATGTAAAGTATCAAAACCAATTTGCTCGCAATCATGAAAAAGTAACCACTTTGCCAGCAAAGGCAACGGAATTGCCTTTTTATTCCCAAATGACAATTGCATATGGGCAAGGCGCCAAAAGACACTCATCACAAATGACACACACACCCATTAACATCTCTAAGAACAACAGTAAAATATACAATGCGCCGTGCAGTACAAGTGCTGTAACGATAACACCACGATCGAAAACTACCACTACCCAGCCATCTTCAATGATGTCATTTCCAAATCATGGACAAGGCAAACCTGCCGTAGAAATTGTGCGTATATCAACAAGTCACAATACAGTTGATTTGTTACCACTCCCAACACCATTAAGTCCTCCGGTTGGTAACAGACTCACTAAACCACCTATTGGTGGTTCTCATCCTAAAAAAGAGAAGATAGCACAACAAAAGCTTGCAAAAACATCGCCAACAGTAATACCATCACCGCCTTTAAACGTACCTAAACCCATAATAAATAATTCCTATAATCCCTCGCCTCCAGTTTTAGTTAACTTACACAATACTATACCATTGATGTTACCGACTAAAACAGCTGAAATAGACAAACCGAATGAGATTAAAAAAACTAACGGTTGCATTGAATCCAAAAAAACAAGTAGCCTCAGAGACTTTCGGCCAACTGCTAAAGATAATGGAGTCGAGATACTTGACCTGTCAGCTGGTAAAATAAACGAGACCAAAACGACTGAACCAGTGGTGCAAAACAACATAGGCAATAGTCTCGAAGCAGCATTGAATAAAATCAAACAAAATATTTCTGCCAACAACAATATTGCAACAAAGTCCAACAGCATGGATGAACGGAATGAAGATCTACAAAATCTGCAGTTGCTGTCAGAATCTGCCACAACCCGGGAAAGACTTGCAATTAAAACGCAATTCTATGACAAACCAAAACTACAACAACCATACGTGGTACGACAGCAAAATGCCTCTGTGCGGAATATACCAAATCCCTCAGCGCTAGCTTTTCGCAATCAACCCACTATCGTCTCGACGATAGCAGCAACTTTAACTAATACACAAACAACAGCAGCAGATACTGTGGTATCTGCTACAACTACAACAACCGCTACTTCACCAAATCAGCACAAAAGTGCGTTAAGCTCCCCAAGTATGGAAGATAAAATAAAGTTACCGCTTAACAATACAACATTAACTATGCCAACTAAAAGCGCGTGCTCAACCACGCAAATCTCTACGGTTTCGAGCTTGCGGCCCACTAAGAAACCAACTACAATCGATCAAGTGGCCGCTAATTTAAATATCAGAGCAGCCGCCGCGGAAGCTTCAGCAGCGAAAGCAGCCGCCATAGAAGAATCTACAGCAGCGGTAAATACAGCATATGCGGTAAATACAGCCAGTGTAAACGCCGTTAAGCCAAAGCATGTCTTAAGTGAAGTGAGTGGCTACGAGACAGTCGATTTAACTATAAAATGCGAATCGCCTACAAAGAGTGTAGAGGAGAAAGCGACGAAGACAATTGAAGCTACGACCACGCCTAAAATCAGTGTTACGGCTGACGTAGTGCAATTAACCCAAAAGGAGACCAACAACAATAATCACAACAACAAAGACACAAACCTTGCAGTTGGAACAACAAACTCCTCCGTCTGATGAGGTGAGTTCGGTGAAAGAAACTTTATTTATTTTTTAAGCTAAAGTGAAAAAAAATTAATAAAATTATGAAATAATAAATAAATTAAAAAATACTAGAAAGTAATGTGAAGCTCAATAAAAATACAAAAGCTGTATATATATATAGAATAATCTCATACTGCAGTATATAGATATAGATATCAGTGTCTACATAATTATACTTAAAATTATTATAATGTTTTTTTTAATTAAATGTAAAACCAGTAAAAGGCTTTAACGAAATGTTTGGTATTTATCTGTAGTTTATTTAACCTCTGTTATATAGTTTTAAGCTTTATTAATGTGCCCTAGAGCAAGAAATATAAATTAATTCCCATTTCCTGAATTGGTATCGCATATAAAAGGATTAAGATTAAGATTAATGGGTCAGTGTATTTATGTTCTTAAATATTTCCTCAAGAAGTTGATTGCTTGCTTGCAAGACGAACGCCCTCTCAAATATTCGAGTTGCCTAAGTATGTAGGATTATTATTTTTACTATTTGGTATTAAGAAATTAATCTGTGGGTAGTATTTAGTTTGAGTTATTTGATAGTATTATATACGAGCAAAAATATTAAAAATGTATTACTATTTAAGTACTTATGAAACACAATACTAATGGCAAATACTGTGCTTGCACTTCAAAACTGCAAGTGTTTACACTATGGTAACTCAATTAGCGAACAGCAAATGCGCGAATTTGCTACACAAGCCATGTAAACTGTGTAAGTCCGCTACGGTTGTCATGTAGACTGCAATAATCTGCAAAAGACTCAATAGATCAAAAAACTTTCTAGTTTCAAAACTCTTACTATAAAAAATAGTTCATTTCCTACAGATTAGGTATCTTATGAAAGAATATTTAATAGACTTAAAATTTCATTGCAATCTTAAATTAGTACGAAGCCAGGGTTAAAGGACCAAATTAAATCAACATGCTATAAACTCTCTATGATTTTGAAATTGATGAAATTTTTTATCTGCCAATCAAGTTTCTCCTTATCGTTTTGGCCGCTCTATCATTTACAATTGTTAGTTCCGACAGTTCATTAGCTTCCATGGAGATGTTAGTTGAACTGAATGCACTTGCTATAATTTCGTTACGCTGGGATACTTTAATTGACCCAGATGAACTGGCCAACACTTTATGTAAAAGTGCTTTAGGAGATAACTTGCTTTGAACTATAAGCCCCCCTGGAAGTACATTTAGGTCTACAAGTCTGACGCGAGCTATTTGTATGGAATATTTTTGAGATATTTAGCGTTTTGATCCACATTTTTTTTTTGTAATGTAACTATGTATGTACTATGTAACTATCTATGTAACTTGGTTAGTATTGATAATGGAGCTTCCTTCTCCCTTTGGCACATACGAAGATCAAAAATTATTTTTGGTATTTTCTTGTGGTTGATAAGAAACACACTGTATAAGTTAATTTATTCCAATTAGAATTAATGGCTCTATTCTTTGTAATAAGTCTTCTAAAATATTTCACTTTTTAAGTCCGCTTTGTAACCTGTTTAGACCAAACATTTTTGAGTTGTTAACGGTTTTTTTATCAATTATTTTTTTCTTCGAGAAGACTTCTCTTTGACACTCTGTAACTTAATTAGTACTTACAATGTAGGTTCCGTTCTCTATATGGCCCATTTCAATAAACAGAAATTATCGAATTTCAACGGAAGAATCGGAATATAATTGAGGTGTATATAAAACACTCTACATAAGTACATGTATTAAAATTAATTCTTTTAAATTTTTACGCTTTATTATTGTGAGTCTACCACCACGTATATTCTTGGCTATGATCCTGACCTAAGCTATTTGGATGAAACATTCACGAAATTATATAGGTTTCGTGATTAAATATTTTTGTTTTATATAGATAACTATGATCTTGATCTAAACTATTTATGAAACATTTATGAAATATTATAGGTTTGTTGTTTAAATATTTCTTTTATATAGACAACTATGATCCTAACCTAAGCTATTTGGATTAAATATTTACGAAATATTATTAGTTTCTTGATTAATATATCCTTTATATAGACAACTATGATCCTGACCTAAGCTATTTGGATTAAATATTTACGAAGCATTATTAGTTTCTTGATTAATATATCGTTTATATAGACAACTATGATCCTGACCTAAGCTATTTGGATTAAACATTTTCGAAGCATTATTAGTTTCTTGATTAATATATCCTTTATATAGACAACTTTTTGAACATCTATAACTTGCCAAGTACTAAAAATGTACTAATTGAATTTAATGTTTTGAATTTTTGTAATCACTCGTCTTATATCGTCTTGCGAGTTATTGGAACCGAATCTCTTGGATTTATTTCCAGAAAATTGTTTATTTTAAATAGTAAAATTCACGCTCCATCGTAGTGTCTTGTGCGCTCTTGCAAGGAAATAGGATCTTAATCAATTAGAGACAGTTTGATATTGTTCCGCTTATGTCTAAGCATAAATATATTAAATAATATATAATGTATATGATTATAAGTTAATATGAAAATTAAAGTTTCTTTAAGGAGGCTGTTTTATAAATTTATTTAAATGTTAGTGCCCTTTAAACTATGTACAAGTATAGTACAGTAAACTTATGTATATTATGAGTAAATTAAATTAAATTAAAAAAATATTAATTTTTTTTTAAATTCAATGTGTATAGATTGCAAATTATTGTCTGAAAAAATGCAATAAAAAAAAAATTAATTTTTATTAAAAAAAATAAATAAAATTTTAGAGAAAAGGCAGTAGCAATGCTGAAACTCGAACTTGCGCAGTGTTCGATTTGTGTATTCACGCGATTTTTATGCTAAGTTTGTCACGAACACTCGTTAAAGATACAATTACGAAATATTATTAAATTTTTATGAAAAAATATTAAATTGTTTTGTTTGTGTTTGTATATTGTATAGCATTGTATTGCATTGTATTGCATTGTATGTAATTATTTAAAAAAAAGACTATTAAAAATCACAAATTATAGCTTAGTAAATCAGTTGTATTGTGTGTAATGTATAAGTAAAATATATAATATTGTAGTTTTTAATGATAACAGTTACTTAACATGCAAACATTGTAAATATCACGAAGCAAAAAATATAAAAAAAATATTACAAAATGATTTCAACAAATTAATAATATATAAAAACTTTATGCCTATACCAAAAAACAAAAAGAAAAAAATATTTTAAATAATTATACATAATTCAGTGAATGCCAATTGACTGCATTTATTGAAATTGTATAACTGAAGTCCAAGAAAAAACGTTATTTCACATTAAAAATCATTGAAAGCCAAACTTAAACACACATCAAGCTTTGTATTGAAACTCTGTCTAAATCTATCTAAATAGAAATCGACTATTTTGTACTTCAGTTAAATGTAGTTGAATACACTTGTCATTAAAGCATTTGCCTCACATTCTTCAAACATCGAATACGAACCTATAACTTTCATAAATACTCGTAAAAAAATATTAAATCTTTTCAAAGATTTAAGCTAGACAAATAACTCATTATACAATATTAATAATACGAATACAAATAAAAGATACAGTATAATCTCTTAGCAATGTAACTACATTTCCAATATAACTATGAACAACAAACTTACGAGGGTGGCGTCATAAAATTTTGCTTTATGCACTTTCATTATTTAAAATTAGGTTTGACTTCTTTTTTTTTTTTTATTTTATTTTAATTTAAAATTCATGATAATGTAAAGTTCCCTTTAACCATTGTTAAATTACCCTTATAGAAAATGTTTAAAGTTTATAAAATACAATTGAAAATTGTTTAGAGCAGTGAAGTGATTAACTATATAGTAGAACCTACGTATAATATATAGAAAAATATATAATAAAGTATACGAATATGCTGAAAAGAATAATTTTGGCTACGAACGTTATATTTTGTTTGTGAAGTGATCTGAACTCTGGAGGTGGAGATTTGTTATATATACATAGAAATGTTTTGCTTCAATGACATTAACTGTTTTTGGTAAATATTTACCATATTAAGAGTCCCAAAGTGCCAAAAATATCATACTCTTCTTTTCATAATAAGTAAAACTTACTTTTGTATTTATTATATTCTCGGGTGAACGACATAATAGTCCAGTTCTTTATTTTCAATAAATTTTAAAATTAATTTTAGTCTTAAACTCATAAATAAATAAATAAATATTAGACTTTCTATAATATATTACAGTAATATAGGTCTATAGTTGATGCTTACTAGCCATGACATCCCGTTATTGGGCACCTGACTGGTATAGTGCTCTTCTCCAGACGCCACTTCTGCGCTCGCGCATTCTTCAGTTGCATACATAACGCATTCTTACTTCTGCCTTCACTTGATTACTTTACCGGAAACATGGTACTCCAGTAAATCCAATGCTTTTCCAACTACCGTTTAAAGCGTCTTTTTCGCTAGAGCTAGAGAGGATGTTTTCATACTAACCCTGATTTAGACAAAAACTGAAAAGTAAAATTTACGATATTACCATGTCAAGAAATTTATTTATAATAAATGAAAGAAAATTGTGAATTAATATGAAGCATACTTAACCCTATTTCTTGAATCTTTAAATGCATTAAAGATCCAATGATTTAGATTTCATTTATATATGAATAGTTTGGCAATAAAATGGGAATATAATTTATTTATCGCAAATGTTCAAACACAATGTGTTGTTCGGGTATTACTTATTTTATGCCTTTATCTAAAACTTAACCTTATAGTTGCCTGACCTATAAGGTGGAGCAAAGCAGCTCACTTGGATGATCAGCTTAATTTCTGTATAATTCAATGCCTTTAATTCAAATCTTAGAGTCGAGTATATTCGATGTGTTGGAACTTCGTAATTTTCAAATAATTCAATCAATTTTTCATTTGTCCTGGCTTCCAGACATCCAATTGAAGTGCCGTCACCCTTATGGGCCCATAACCACC